ATCGATAACACGACAAGAAAAAAAAAAGAGAACACGCCAAATCCAGCCTCGGCAAACACCGTAATAGTGAACAGGTCCCCAGTGTGATATGATTGATGCTGAAAGGTGAAAATGATGATGGAAATGATGGAAAAGAAGTAGCCCAGTGATAGCTAGAACCAAATGTTTGAATACATGAACCACGGCGGACAAAAAGAGGTCGAGATTTGAAAAGGTGGGGGGGGGGAATCAAATCAAACAATGATGGACAATTCGGAGCGATCCAGCCCGTCGTCTTCGAGGTTGGGGTAGTATGGGATCATTGCATCTGCGCTCTGCACATACGCGTCGTTGTAGAGGCGCCAGTAGGGGACGCGGACCTTGCGGGCGGGGTGGAACAGGCCGGCCCAGACATAGTTCATGACGGTTCCCGTGCCGACGGCCATGCGGATGGCGTCGATGGCCTCGATGACCCGGTCGATGACGTGGGGGCTGGTCTCGAAGATGTTGGGGAAGACCAGGTTCAGGAGGTGGACCATGGCGTCTTCGCACCCGAGGCCCACGACGCCCAGCGCGATGTGCTTCACCACGCTGGCGGCCGTCTGACGGTGCACCTGGTCGCGGTCGATCAGGGCGTCCTCGAGGAGCGGCGTGACCGCGTAGACGTAGTCCTTGGCCATCTCGCCGATGTATTCGAACAGGAAGGACATGGCCTTGAGGACACCGTTCTGCACATTCAGCTCGGGCACCCGGTACTCGTTCATCAGGGCCGGGAGCACAGTGAACGGCGCACAAGTTTCGGCCACGATACCGATGGCGACAGCGGTACAGACACGCGATTGACGTTCCTGGACACGCAGGTTGTTGAGCAGCGTGGCCAGCACGTCCTGGGGACCAATAGCCTTGGCGATGAAACCGAAGGTGTTGTTGGCAGCACGACGAATGCCCTTCTTGTGAGCCTTCAACATGTCCAGAAGCTCGAAACAGATACGCATCCACTCCCTGGCGTTGACGGATTCGGGACCACGATCGGCGATACGACCAACCAGATCGATAGTGTTCTCCTGGACCTTCTCGTGGCGGTTACGCAGGATAGGCGTGAGGCGGGGAAGCAAATCTCGAATCGGCGGTTGCATCTGGTTGATACCAACCACGGTGACGATAGATCGGAGGGCTCCCAGAATGGAACCGAGCACTTCGGGATATTCCTCACCCAGGTACTCGTAGAGCACAATACCAAGCTTGCCCATTAGCGCGTCCTCGCCACACTGCTTCATGACCATGGCGATGCGGGAGATGAGGTCTGCAGCCTGCTGCCGAACCGTGGCCGACTTGTTGTTCAACCGCCAGAGAATGGTACTGACAATCTGGGGAAGATAAGGCTTGCAACGCGTGCCAAGGGCGTTGACTACCGTACCGAATCCGTTCAAGATGACAATGTCCTCAATGCTTTGCTCCTGGAAAGCATACAGGACACCATCAATCAGTCTTTCCTCCAGTCTCTCTGAAATATCCGCGGCGCCGAGGGCTGCGATAAGCTTCTCCACGGTCTCCACGGTCATCTTCCGGTAGGGTTCGCTCTCATCCTTGAGGTTGTTTACGACACGCTCGAGGATCTCACCCACTCCCACCTTCTGTCCAAGGTCCACCGTTGTGTCCACCACCTGGCGATAATTCCTCCTATCCAAAGCCATACGCCTCACCCAGAAACTCTTGAAGAAGTCTGTTAGAACATGCTCTTTGAGGTAACTAGCTGTCACACCATCCGTGCTGGCACACTGTGACACCACCTTGAGAACGACTTTCTTCATCTCTTCATCCGGGGAGGAGAACTCGCGGAGCAAAATCTCCATGATTTGGCTGGTATAGTAGTTGGCATATTCTTCGTCCATGAGGGGAATAATGTAGCCGACAGCTTTAAGAAATGCAGCCAAACCTTTACCACGCTGCTTCCGGGCGCCGGTCCACAGAGGGTTGAGAATCTCATCGAAACTCTCGATACCGTAAGGGTTGGCAGCTTCAGCCAAAGCCGCGACGGCCAGGGCAGTGACCGTTCGCACCTTAGCTTGCTCATCACTAAGGTTGTCCGCGATACAGTCTACCAGTCCCTTGAGGTGAGGCAAGATGGCGCAGCCCATGAGAATAGGAATTTGCTGAACAATCTTGACACCTGTGTGTCTAGCCTGCCACGACTTTTTACTCCGACACACGGCACGGAGGAATGGGAGAAGAGCAGGAATGCCAAGAGCAGAAGCGACAACCGCGAAGGCTCGGGCAGTCGTGTTCCGGACATATTCATCGACGTGGTCGATATCCGGACGCATGGTACTGATCATGGTGGCTAGACCAGCCGCCTTCGCCAAGTTCGAAATGATCTCTCGACCCTCAACACGGGCGTAGTAGTCTTGGTCGATAAGCAAGGGCTCAATAACCACGAGGATCTTGTGAACATAGGGACGAACAAGATCATCCAACTTGTAAAGAACACGGTCGATGACCTTAACCAACAGATGGCGCTCCTGGTCTTCGAGAGACTTCTCCATGAGAAGGGGAAGAATCTGGTTGAACAGAGGCCCCGCGCCGAATTGCCGTGCGTTGTCCGTGAGCTGACGCAGGGCTGTCTTTCTCATCGGCGGCGTGCCGTTCTTGACCTTCAGCAAGAGTCGCATGATCTTCCGTTCCTTCATCTCCTCGACCGTCATTGAGCTCTCGTCACCTCCTTCCATGAGTTTGCCAAAGTAGGCCATATCCTCAGGCTTGAAGAATTGAAGGTCTCCGACACCGGGGATTTCAGTTGGAAGCTGTTTGCCCAGCGCACGAGCACTTTCAGGCTCTTGCATCATGAAACCACCAACACCAGTGGAACTGGCCATGGGTGCTGGAGTAGCCATAAGCTTCCTCGCAGGGTTCCGGATCGGGGCATATCCTGGAGGAGGGTCGAGAATCTTGTAGCCCTCAGACGGCAACATCATATCAAGCTCTTCGTCCGACAGGGGAGCATTGCGTCCAGAGATATCAGTTCCAAAGCTAGTTGGAATCAAAGGTGCACCTACTTGGGAAGGATGCATGGGGGTGGCAAGCCCTTGGTTGCCGACCGGGGTCGAGGCCGTAAGTGCTGGTGCTTGATCCCATCGGGACCGACGCTTGGGAGCATCATCGGCGGCGCCGGGGGCAACCGGGGCGGGCGTCTGATCCCAACGGGACCTCTTCGCCTTGGTGTCGGCAGCTTCAGCGGGCTTGGGGGTCTCCTCCTCAGGAACCGGCTCCGCAGCTACATCCCACCGCTGCTTGCGCTTGCGACCCGAGGCGACGGCCACCGTGGAGCCGGCGTCGGCGTTCTCTTTGTCTTCCAATGTGAGCGTAGCCTTGTGCTCGATGGCATCGTTATCTCCACTGGCCTGCTTTTCTGCGATCAGCTTCTGGACACGTTCTTCTTCTTTCTCAAGTTCACGCATGGCCATGACTTCACGATAAGTCTGACCCTCCTCCCCCTCCCCGTCCACGTTGGCATGAGTGTTCGCAGCGAAAGGATCAGCGCGCGTGGGAGTCAGCGGACCGCGGTTGAAGCGGCGCTTCTGGTAGTCTGTCTCACGGTCGGCGATCCTAGCTGCCTTCTCGCGCCCAAGAAGGATGTCCTCCTCTTCCACCCCGTTGCCGTGGGCGAACTCGTCGATCTGGCTCCGGGTGGCAGTGTACTGGCCCACCAGGCGGTGGCCTGCGTCCGCGTCCTCCATCTCCTCATCGTCGCCGTTGACGGCAATCGAAGTATCATATCCCGCAAACTTGTCGGCACCTTCGCGTTCGTAGAGGGTCGTGTCGAAGGATTCAGTCAGGGAGGCCTTGGTCGAGTTGTCAGTGCGCTGGCTAGACGGGTCAAAGGTCCTAGAACCTTTACTTCCAGCTGCAGCAGCATTGCGCTCAGCTTGGAGCCGACGAACGGCTTCAAAGTCAGCTAGAAAAGGGGCGGTCAGTCAGGGCCGGAGGACAACTACAGTTTGAGAGAGGGGGCTGGGGGGGGGGAGAGGGAAGCATCATACCGTCAGACATGTTGGCAGCTATGGAGATCCCAAGTGTGAGATTTTTAACAGACACTCCCAGATAGGGGTCAAGGCAGCTACATCCGGATCGGACAAAACGATGACAGCAAGCTTGGTGGTGAAGGGAAGTGACGTCCTTGAGGCGAAAATATCAGAGAACATCAGGTGAAGTTCGGCGGCGGGACTAGACTGCTGACTAAGACAATGTCACGTGTAAATCAGCCAGATCGGTGAACAGCTGTTATGTTGGACCTGGCAAGGACAGAATAATTATTATTATTGACAGTGGTGCTTTTTTAGAGTAGCTCTCTTTGGGATATTTAGGGTCGTTCTTTTAGTACTACATGTCCGTATCTGTTGAACTTGGGCCGACAGGAGTCATTTGTGAAGCACTCCGGATCTGAAGCCAAAAAAGGTATATATATCTCCAGATGCACAAACCACTCAAGTCATTCTCGCAAGCTACTTAGTAGTCCATTCAGTTATGATCAGAGCGAGCGATATATCAAGCTTCACATTGTTTAAAGACCTGAGACTATGATTCTTTGGAACCACCAGCCAAAAATTACCGACAGTGGTTACAACATGAACATGAGTATGAACAGAGCTGTTCACTTCCAGTAATAACAAACAACTATTAGTCTTTTCCTTGTCAGTAATAACAGCAAGTCCAGACACCAAGTATGCCAGCTTATATATAGCAAGAAATCTAACGCTGGCTTGTCAGAAATGAGCTGCACTGTCTGCGTGGAGGGGGTGCCAAAACTGGCTGACGATGCCTCTCGCCTGCCATGTCATGGTCCGGCATACAGTAGCTGCGCATTGGCTGCATAGAAACTCTACTTCTGCTGCCAGATGTTGATTGAACTCGAGCCGCTGAAGTACCAATATGCGAATAATAAAGACATTCATTCGGCCTTCGGACTCTAAAACATCAATTCAAGAATAGCAGATGTTCGGTATAGTTCTGGATGAAGGAGCAATGGCTCTTACGTCAGCGTTACACGTGATAGCTCTTCCGGAACGGGCAAACCGCCGCCAAACAGTCGCCTCCCGTCTCCAACACGTCCCTCAACCAGCTGCGCTCTTTTTAACCTCTCCTTCCATCTGTCTCATCGCTCTCTAATACCTCCCTCGTTAACGCTGCGCTTTAATCATCTCAGCAAGGTGCACGTTCGAAACTCCAAGCGGAATTGACCACCTCAGCGGGTCCTAGAAGCGCCAAGCCGATTCGAACCAGAATACCACATCCGCTCGTATACGTCGTCAACGTCCTGCGCCTGTTGTTCTCTACTATCTCCTCCATAAGATCAATTGATCTAGTACAACGCATAACCGCTTTGCATCATGACGACCGATTACGGCAAGAAGACCAACGCTGAGCTGGTCGAAATCCTCAAGTCCCGGAATCTCCCGCACAACGGCAAGAAGGCGGAAATGGTGGCTCGCCTCCAGGAGGATGATAACAAGGCCGTCGAGCCCACAAAAACGACAACCGAATCTACAGCTCCAGCAGCTGCAGCGGATGATGTCATTGACTGGGAGGATGACGAAGTCCCTGCCACGGAGGCCGCTGCGAAGAGCTCCACAGACGCTGGAGCTGCTGCCATCGCGGCCGGTGGAAAAGGGGAAGTGGCCAACCCTGTTGCCGTACCCAACCAGAAGCTAGACACCGATCCTGCTACCACGAACGACCTCAAGGTTGAATCGGAGGGTGCTGCTGCTTCCGCGGAGGTGAAGCCTGAGGCTGCCACGGAGGCTGCCGCTACCGCTACTACAGAAGAGGCCGAGCAGAAGCCGGCCCCGAGCTTCGCTGCGGGCCTTCCAATTACGGAGATGGAGGAGGAGCTGAAGAAGCGTAAGGCCCGGGCGGAGAAATTTGGAATTACGGAGGATTCCAAGGCTGCCATCGAAGCTGCAGAGAAGCAGCTGGAACGGGCGAAGCGGTTTGGCTCAGCTGCCGTCGCGGCCCCCACAACCGAGGTTGGGGTGAAGAAGCTGGACGAGGCACTTCCGGAGGAGAAGTCGCGCAAGCGTGGTCGCGGTGAGAATGAACAAGGTGGTGGTCGGGGAGGAAAGAGACGCGATTTCGGTGGCGGCCGGAATAAGTCCCGGCGACAGGGTCGCGGGAATCGCAACCAGGGTCAAGGTCAGACTCAGCGCCAGCAGCAGAATGGAGGTGGAAACAAGGGTAGCAGTCTAAGTGAAAAGGACGCGCAGGCTTTGGAAGCCAGGAAGAAGCGATTCGGATAGGCTGCTTCTCGGCTTTATCTTTCATTCTATCCGTTTTTCATCTCGCTCGGCGTTTTAAGGAATTTAATATCGATCTTCAGACTTTTACTGGTTTGCTTAAGCTTTTTGAAGAAAGCTGCGATGGTTGTCAATACAATCAATCCTGTAGTATGATAGGACGGCACCATGAAAGCTCGACCTGGTCAATCAGATCGGCCAGATGCCCCTGTTCCCTATGGCAGTCGTACAGTCCTAGTGGGTTGACGAGTCAACGAGAGTGGGACAAGGCCAGGGCTATCGTTGCTATGTCGACAATCGGAACTTGACCGGAGATTGGTGCTGAACGAGGACAAAGCACCGTTCAGGGTGACATTCAGTCCAACATCTGTTTTCTGTTCCTGTCTTGTGCCATGTTTACTATGTTTTCGGGGAATCAAGCGAACCGGACTTGTTTCGTCGACAACCATGAAGAGATAGAAGCGGGCTGTTCGTGACGCTCAATATTTTCTGGAGATTTCTAGACGGTCGTGTCAAGCTGCGAGTTATGTTACTGTGGCGGTCGGTAGCGGCAGCCTCGACATGTTCAGCTGAAAGGTGCATGACAGGCGCCGGTTCCTGCAGAAAGTCAGACAGTTCTCGCTGCTTGCTGGCCATGGAAAGATCAGAATTATCTCTGTCTTTTCAAAGCCATGAGATCCGCGTCAGTAGATCGAAATCGCCCACTCCACACCATGCCAATAGTGACTGCAGAAGACTCTCACTATCATGCCGCCCGCATATTCACGCCCCGCCTACTACTTTCAATTCGTGTCCTGTTACCCATCTCGAGTATCCCACCCGTCCCAACGAGAAATCGCTTTGAGGCTGGTCGGTGATTGGTATATATGGCCATCGTTCAGCTTAGCTTATCCTGACCGGAGTCAAATGTTGTCAAGCACTCCCATGATTAATGCTGAGCTAGGGCCTCGAATAACCGCTGATCTCCGCCCAAGAGAATAACTGCGGTAAGCGAAAGGGCCTTTGCTTCACTAAATGGAGCGAATCGCCTCGTGTTGCGCGGTGTATTGCCCCCGTCCAGACTCGGTGCTGAGCCAGGCCGCGCGGATGGCATCCGTCAATCAGGGCGGATTGTCGCACGGTGACAAGAATTTAGCGGCGGATCAAGACCCACGGGCTGAGCGACTCCGCATCTACTGGGACGGTAAAGTATGAGGAACTCGTGAGTGTCATGGCCAGCGTAGAGAAGGAATACTCCGTAGTCCAGCAAGTAAGAGTAGCAGAGATATTAATAGATCGCCAACCTCGATCCCACAAGGGTTGATTCTCGATTCTCGATTCTGATCCTCGATGAATTGATTGCTTCAGGGACCGACGGTGTCTCCACCATTCTAAGTTGTGGCCCTTGGTCTCAGCTGCCGTGTACTGTATGGAGTACTGGGTACATAACCTAGGATGTCAGTGATTGAACACAATCAAAGTATATCCTGGCCAGTCGTTATATTCAAGAACTAATTTCATGCCATGGTTCGTCCTAGGAGAAGAAGTTGTTTGAGCAGTGTACTTTACGTACAGTTTTGGAAGCAGGGAAACTGGGGATGACAGGATGGTTCGGGGCGAACCTTCCAGCGTACCAGAATTGCCCCTCTGGGAGGATCAATGATCAATGATGGCACAAAGTGTGGATAAGTTGAAAGACCTGAAGATGCTGCTCTTTCCTTCTTTCTCCCTCGTCTTTCTGCACCTGATCAATAGTGTAATGTAGACTAAGTAGTCCACTCGTGGTGGTTCGTCACTTCCTCACGTTCTCTTCCTCGGACTCGCCGCGATCGGCAAGGCCAGTAAGTGGCAGTAACCAACAAAAGTCAGTGACCATCAGTGACCATCAGTGACCTTTTCACCTGACCACCGCACTAAGGAAAAAAAAGAATCCACCCCCTCTTTCACTTGTCGCCAATCTCGCCATTTCCCCCCCCCCTCCCCCCGAATTCCCCGATAGAATGAAGGAAAATGTCCGACAGGCGTCAAATCAGAGTCGATCCTTGATTGACACACAGACCAGATCTGGCTGCGCCAATTCTTCCTCTAATGAATTAATTGATGCCTGCATCTGCCATTTGCATGTTTGGCCGTCGCAAGTGGTCGGATCCCAGGACGACGGACTGTCCACTATCCCACGCCACTCGACTCCATCGAGACCTGTCAGCCTTTACCGTTGAATAGTCCCCAAGCGTCCCCAAGCCTGTGCTGCGGTAGTCTTCACCACTTATAACGAAGGTAGCAAACGCGGGTGGATCTGAACAATCGTTCCCGTCCACTCTGGCTCACTATGCCTCTCGCAATTTGACATCTGCGTACTATCTATGGAGTCCAAAACGCTCGTGCCCTCGACCAAGATGAGGATCCTCTAGGCTCAATTTGCTCCCAACGATAACCATTCCAAGGTGCACTTACGATGACGGGAATTATATTATAATCGTACTGATATGCTATGCGACAAGGCGACAGAGTAGTTCCTGCGCCAATGATCGTCCCGGTCACATCAGGGCTCGAATCCGGCGCCGATGTCGATCGCACAAACGACGCCAGGATTCCTCTGTGATAGTTGACCCTTTTGTTATAGGGATTAAATCGACTTGCAAATGGATATCCTGCTTTCCCGCGGCGCTCGACGGTCCACAATGGGGTTGAACTCAAACATGGACGCTCTTAGACTGTCGCCCAGGTCCAGATCTCATGGTCCACTGATTAATACAACCTGATCCATGACCTTCCTTCCCTAGGTCGCCCTCTTGCTCCTCCTCACTTCACTTTCTACCCTTTACTTCTCTCTCAGCTGGCCTTTGGGAGTTTCCTTTTGAGCGGACTTTCTGATTTGCAGACTGCCGCAGCACGTTCTCTGACGTGGTCGTGCAGACCCAGCTCAACCACTTTCTTTTCTTCCTGCCTGCATTTAGCCACCGGCGACGTCTCCGGGCTGTGGCGCAGTGAGTGCATTTGCCCGCCGGCTTAAGTATACCCGCGATCAATTGGATATCTTCTGTCGTCGTCGCTCAAGTGCAATCAGATCATCTGGACGGCCAAATTTAATTTTCAGATGCCTGCTATTCCGAGAACGCGGTTTTTCATGGTGCTTTCAAACCCTTGTATAGTATATCGTTCTGTGCTTGACCTTTACCGCTTCATTGTGTCTTGAAAATACCCCGCCACGCTGCAATATTGTGAAGTCTTCAACTTTCCCCATATATAAGCGCTTCTGTCATTGTCCCCCGCAGAACACGATGCTACGAGCTGCCAATGTAAGTGATCAACCAGTCTTCTGTCTCAGGCCCGGAGTGTATAGAAGCTTACATCGCATTTTGCCTGCAGATTTTACTCCAATCCCGATAATCAGGAATCAGACGGAATGAGTTCAAGCCTTGTTCGTTTCCATAACATCGCTAGATTAGTAGTCTTTGGACAGAGGCTGGCGACTGGATCTTGGTCATACGATGTCGTCGCACAAGTCTGACGGTGGCCGAATACCCCGGCTGAAGGATGTCGCTTTTCAACCCCGAAATGTATCATCGACCGGGATGGCTTCAGCGCGTTCTTCGAACTCTGCTGCCCAATTATTGCACCGTCCCCGGATACCAAGGCCGAACAATGGACCATCCAGGAATAGCAGAACACCGTCTCTATCTGATGCAGAAGATAGTCGCCATGCCTCCGCATTCTCGAAGACGTCGAGGATTCCGACTGGCCTCATGGCTTGTCCGCCCTTATCCTCCAAGGGGACGATCCACTCATCTTCGCCGCAATCAATCCCGGACCCGATGGCAGATCGTCGTGTATTATTGGTATCCCACATGGCTGCTGGACCCCTGAGTCACTCCGGCACCGAACCACAGACCCCAAGTCAAGGTCGACTTCGGAATGTTCTGCGAAGGAGGGCGCCCACAATTGGCCAGCATAATGCACAAATTAGGCCTATGCCGGATAGGATCAGGTCGCAGAAGCTGAATGTTATAATTCCAGAGCAACCTTCCATTGGTCGTCCATCGACTACTCTATCTCAGTTCCCGCCAAGTAATGCTAGTCTGATCGGACAACTTTCATCACCAATGACCTCGTCGGAGATTTCGCTGAGCAGCGTATCGAGCAACACAGCTCGCGATGTTCCCAAGGAGCTTGCCAGTCTTAGGACCACCACGATCAACACACAGAACCTCCCACCCCCAACCCCAATCATCCCTTCTGCCAGCAGCCCATCGACGAGGTATTCTGAGTCTCCCGGCATGTGGAGCAGGACATCCACACCTACTACCTTATCTTCGTACTCACCAGGGATCCCGGTCCCTCCTAAGGGTTCTCGTATAAGACAGCCAAGTCCATCTCAAAGCAGGCTCCCTGTCTTCTCTCCCCAGCAACACCAGCTCAGCTCATCAACAGGTTTCCCTGCACGAAGCGCTATAGATGAATTGGAACCAGGCCCCAGAGTGAGCCGGGACAATTCACATGGCGACAACTACCATGAGGAGTCTGGTGGGATGAGAGTGATTAATGCGCCGAACGTGGCTGGAAGTAGCCTGCCACGAAAGCTACCCAATTGGACAGAACCGTTCCTCTTCAGTGAAAAACAGCCAAGCCACGATATACAGCCGGACTCTGAAGCAGCACAGAAATCGAGATTTGTATCTCGCGAGCAGAGAGCGGACGGGATGAAGATTTCTGTCCATATTCCCACACGACCCAGCAGAGAAGGGACTCATCATTTGGTGCTGGAGCCCTCCCCGATCATTCAGAGCAACATAGCGCCTGCAGCTTTGACAGGACATAGGCGTCGAACTTCAGGAGATCAGAGTGCAGTACCTGAGGGAGCAACACATTCAATTTTGTCTGCAACTACGTCTGTGGATTCTCTGCATTCTACTTTATCTACGCGAAACAACTCACGCATACCTATGTCGCCCGAACTCCCACGCAAGAGCCCCCGAATCTTGACCAAGGGTCCTAGCGCTCAGCACGACGCCGTCAGTCCAGGCAAAACCCACACCCTTGGTCTGTTCTCTAGGAGATCTAAATCAGAGATAGAGAAGGATAACGAAGGTAGATCTGTTCGCAAAGGACCAGCTG